CTTTACAAATATCAACTCATTTAAGCCTTACAACAGCCCTGGTTGTTGAGGGAGGTGCTGTTATTCCCATTTTGCAGATGAGGAAATTGAGGCAGATAGAGGTTAAGTGACTTGCCCAGGGCCACATAGCTAGTAAGGGTCTGAGGCTAGATAGAGTTGAACTCAGGTCTTCCTGTCTCTAAGTCCACTGCACCCCCTAGCCTCTCCAACTAGATTGTGGAGTTTGTAAAGCAATGTAAAATAAGACTGGAAGAATAACTTGGGACCAAGTTATGAAGCCCTATAGGTCAAACAGAGGAATTTTTATGAGATCCTGGAAGCAAGTGATTCAATGTATGGGATGAGTGAGAGAGAGAAGTCAAGGATGATGCTGAACCTGCAGACTGGGATGATGGGGAAAATAGTCATGCGCTTGAGGGAGAACGGGAAGTTCAGAAGATGGTTGGGCAGGGCTAGGGGTGGGCATAGTGAGTTCTACTTTAGAAAAACTGAGTTTGAGAGGCTTATGGGATACAGTTCAAAACATTCAGCAGGCATTTGGTGATTCATGTGTGGAGCTCAGTAGGGCGATGAGTAATTTGCACAGACATGATAATTGAACCCATGGAGCTGATAGAATCATTGAGAAAGTGTTGAGAGAAAAGAGGGCCCAGGACAGAGGCTTGGGGCATAGCCCCAGTTTGGGGGTGTCACATAGAGGATGTTCCCTGAAAGGATCACATAACCCAACATTCATTCAGGAAGCACCTCTATGTGTAAGGCACTGTGTGAGGTGCTAGGGGTGCAAAAATGAACTAATAACTGCAATGGAATTCATATAGGGCTTTCAAATTTGCCACATACTTTACATATATCACCATCTCATTTAATTCTTTCAAAAACCTTATAGAGTAGATATGAGAAGTACCACTTCTTCCATTTTACAGATGAAGAAACTGAGGCTTAAAAAGGTTAACCGGTTTACCCAGGATTGCATAGCTACTGTGTCTGAGGTGGGATTTGAAACTTGTCTTCATGACTCTACGTCAGCACTCCATCCACCATGCCTTGTTGTCTCTCAGGAAAAAAGTTCCTGCCTTCATGGAGCTTACCTTCTACTGCGGGAATATGACCTGTACATATATATCTATCTATAGCTCTCTCTATTAGATATAGATCTATGTACATATGTACATATACACACATACATATATGTGTATATTTAGCCTGTTTGCATACCTAACCTTCTTACCTTTAAAAAAATTGACTACTGGGTACAGGATAATGAAGATTTGGGAAGAAAGAGAGCAATAAAGCAGTTTCTTAGGATTGTCCTTCTCTTTTCACCAGCAGACTTGGACCATGGAAGTCTGCACTAGCCATGAAGCTGTCCTTTATTGAAGAGAGGAGCATGAGATCTGTACTCAGTGCCCAGGGATGGGGGCTTCCTCTTCCTTCCCTATCTTTGAGATTTGGACTTCAAGGTCTTCAGGTGGGTGATGGAGCCTGAGAAGACAGTTCATGAGCTTGAACTGTGGATTGTCCATGAGGTTATTATCATGAGGTAATCCAGAGTTTCTGGGACTGGGACTGTGCTGGTCATGGTGGCTTCTGATGCTGAGGCACAAGGCTGTATTGGCTGGCAACTGTGTCTGCTAGAGAATAGCTTAGATTTTCAAATCTTCAAACAGAGAAGGGGGCTGGAATTCAAGGAGAAGCAAGTCTCAAGAATGGAAGCAATTAAGAATCATATTGATTGGTGAGCAAGATAAGGAGGGTTGTTTTATTTCACTGCTCTGCTTTTCCCAAGATCTTCCTGCTATAGTCCAGAAACTGGAACTGGCATCCCATCCCCTTATATTCTTCTATCAACTGCAGGTGTGGGTGGTTCAGTGGCTTTTCTTGATACTCCAAAGATCTGACTGGTAAAGTTTGGAAGGTGGCTAGAGTTGGACAGAGCAGCTAGGTGGTATAGAATGCCCAAGCTTTGAGTCAGGAAGACTCATCTTCCTGTGTGACTGGGGCAAGTCACCTATTTGCCTCAGTTTTCTCATCTATAAAATGAGCTGGAGAAGGAAAAGGCAAACCACTTTGCCAAGAAAACCCCCAAATGGGGTCATGCAGAGTCAAACGTGACTCACATGAAGAAATAACAACAAAGAGGTAGATAATTCCATGTAGGATTCCTTAATTCCTTTCCATTTTTATTATGTTCAATATGCTATATGCTCATGGTATGCTGTGGATCTAGTCCTACAAATGCAGAGGATGATGACTAAAGAAAGGAGAAGCCAGATGGAAGGTTGGGATTTTAGAGCTGTAGATTTCATTTTAAAAAAATATTCTTAGTTATATTACATTTCATCCCCATCTATCTGTCTTAATCCACTAAAGCCAGGCACCTATAGGCTGGGTGTCCTCTGGTGACCAGTGGAAATAATGTAGTATTTTGGGCTGTTCTCACAGAAGAGTAGATGAAGTGGCTCATAGAGAACACCATCTTGTGGACAACTCAGCTTTTTAACTCTCTTGCTGGAAGAGTAATACAGGGACGTGTTGCCATCTTACATATGCTTTAAAGCGACACATTCTCTGTATGAAAAGCTCTAGTGAGTGAGAACCCACCACTCTCAGGCAGTCCGTGCCACTTTTGGACAAGTTTAAATTTTAGGAACTTTTTTTTCCCTGCTATTAAGGCTAAACTTGAGTCTTTCCAATTTCTACTCACTGTTCCTGATTCTTCCTTCTGGTGCCAAAGAGAACAAGTGTAACACTTCCTCCACATGTCAGCTCTTCAAATACTTGAAGAAAGTTATTATGAGTCTTCTAAGTCTTTAGGGGCTAACATCCCTGGTTCCTTTAGCATCCTTACATGGGATGGGTTTGAGGCCTTTCAGCATCCTGGTTGCATTCTTCTGTACGCTGTTTAGTTCTGTGGTTCTAGAATGTGGTCTGGGGACACATGGGAGTCCCTAAGACCCGTTTCATGTGTCCATGAACTATTTTCATAATAATATTGTCATTTAATTTCTACTATGATAAATGTTAACAGACAGAACTCACAAAAATAAAATAAATAAAAATAAATTAAAACTAAAAGCTCTTTGGGGTCCTCAATTTTTAAGAGTGTAAAGGAGTCCTGAAACCAAGTTTAAGAACTGGTCCTCTAGTTTAGCAATGTCCTTCTAAATCTGTAGCTTCCAGAACTAAACATAATTCTCTGCGTATGATTTAAACAGGCCATAGAACTGATGGACCTTGTCAATTTTGTTGTTCAGTTGTTTTAGTCAGGTCTGACTTTTTCTGACCCCATTTGGGGTTTTCTTGGCAAAATACTGGAGTAGTTTTCAATTTCCTTCTCTAGCCCAATTTACAGATGAGGAAACTGAGGCAATCAGGGTTAAGTGATTTGCCCAAGATCCTACAGCTGGGCTCAGTCCCTTATTTCTAGAAGCTCAAAGCAACCCAAGATCACATTAGATTTTTCACCTCCCCAATCCTGTACTTGTGAAGTTAATTCTTTTGAAATTCACACATAAAAGTTCTGTTTACCCCTACTGAATTTCATTTAATTAGATTCAACCCAGTGCCTTAATGATCAAGATCTTTTTGGCTCCTGATTCGGTCATACAGTGTGTTCATTATCTCAGTTTTTGGTGCCATCTGCAAATTGAATGAGTGTGCCATCTATGCCTTTGTCCAAATCTTGGATAAAAATGTTAGCACAGGGCCAAACACAGATCCCTGGGACATTCCACTGGAGAGCTCTTGCCCAATTGATATTGAATCCAATAACTATTTCTTTGAGTCCAAGCATTCAACCAATTCCAAATCCATCTCATGATATTCTCACCCAATCTCCATCTCTCCAAATTTCCCACGAGAATAGTATGAAATACTTTATTAAGTTTTGCTAAAATTGTACTAATCTATATCTACAGCCTTTACTTGATTTGCCACTTTAGTAACCCTGTCATAAATGGAAATGAAGTTAGTCTACCATAACCAGTCATTGATGAAGGCAAGTGGCTCTTTGTAATTATGTATTCCTTGTCTAAATATTCATTAAGTAATCATTTAGTGATTTGTTCTAGAATTTCCCTAGGAATGAAAGTCAAGCTGGCTGGTCCACCAGTGACAAATACTGCTCTCTTCCTTCCTGGAGAAGGACAACATATGCCCTTCTCCAACCTTGCAATATTTCAGCCCACCATGGAGTCAGGAGGACCTGAGTTCAAAAATGACTTCAGACACTTACTAGTTCTGTGACTCTGGGCAAGTCACTTTACCCTGTTCACCTCAGTTTCCTCATCTGTCAAATGACAGTCACAATTAAAAGTCCTATCAGTACATGAGGATGTAATTTATTTGGAAAAGATGACCTAAATTCATCAAGGGTAAGTAGGAACTTCCTGGCTCTCTCCTTACTTAGCTTGGGTATCAACTCCTCACTGGCAATTTTCATTCCATCATTTCTGGCAAACCACTCCAGTAGTTCTGCCAAGAAAACCCCAAATGGGGTCACCAAGAGTTGGACATGACTGAAAAATGACTGAACAAGAACAATAATGTCAAACGTGTTGGCCACATGTGGCCCATGGCATTTTGGAGTAAGGCCTGACTAAAATATAACTGGGAACCAGTTAACAAAATAAATAAGAATACAATACGAATGTAGATAATTTTACTAAGTGGTTTTCTAATTCACTCTGTGTCTGCAGGGCTCCTTATATATGATCTAGTAGACCCTCTTCTATTTGAGTTTGACATCACTGGACTAGATGGTCTCCTTGAGGTCTCTTCCAGCTTTATATTGATACTTCAACGGAAAGGGATGAGGCAAGCACTTGGGGGAGGGGTGGGAAGGATAGCCAGTTCTTATCTAAATTACCTAATAATTGTGAGTTTTGATGGAATTAAGTTATCTGGCCTCAACACTCTGCTTTGTTTTCACCATGGAGACATCACTGTACGTCTGGACTTAAAAACAAACCAACACACCCCAATCCTCTATAAAATACCTGGTTTTTCAAGGATTGAATCTCAGAGTTTTTGTCATCAAGGTCCTGATCCAGCAGCTCTAGCTTCTGACCCATCTCGATGTTACTTTGGCCGGGAGCTGCCTGCACTAACAGCAGCTTCTGAGACATGGTAGCCACTTCATTTTGGAGATTGGCAATCACGGCGTCTTTGTGTTTGCATTCCATCTCAACGCCTGAGAGGCGGTTGACTTCCTGTCCCAGGTGCTCAATGATGTCATCTTGGGCATTGAGTTCATTGGTAATGGTGACCAGATGAGTCTGCTCCAGGTATGGGATACTGATGCGGTGGGACTGATCCAGGTGTGAGATATTGATGAAGTGGGACTGCTCCAGATGGGGCATATTGACCAGGTGGGACTCATTCAGGTGCATAACTCGGCCCTAAAGAGGTTTTCAGAAAGTTAAAAGGGTCCGAGAAGATTTGATTTGCTCTTAGCTTTCAAGGTTTAATCTATGGATGTGATGACAGCAACAGGGCCTGGAGTCAGAAAGACCTGAGTTCAAATCTGGCCTCAGACATTTACTATGTGACGCTGGGCAAGTCACTTAACCTGTTGCCTCAGTTTCCTCAACTGTAAAATGGAAATAATAATAACACCTCTCATGGCTGTCACAAAGATCAAATTTAATAACTGTAAAATGCTTAGCACAGTGCCTGGCACATAGTAGGTGCTATATAAATGTTAACTATTATTATTATTAAACCAAATATTTATTAAGCAACTATTATGGGCAAGGGCTATTCCTCTGCCAGGCCATCCTGCTTCTCCCATTGATGAGTTCCTCTTGGGGACTCCATTTTGGGGAGAGGCCCAGGCTGGCCAGCCTTTATGCCCCTCCTGGCTTTCTGGACTTCAAAACTATGCCCTCCCCCGACCACCTTTTCAGCTTTCTTTTGTGTGTGTTCCCCATTAGAATCTAAGCTCCTCGAGGGCAGGGACTGTCTTTCTTTTTGCCTGTATTTGGTCCCCCCCATCTATGTTGAATTTTTATTTATTTTGTTAAACATTTACAGTTTAATCTGGTTTCCAGAGCACGGGAGTTTTGCAGGACCTTTGGTGGTGGATAGCTTGGAGGATTGAGAGAACAAAGGGAAATCATGAGTCCATGATAGAGGATGAGGGACAATGGTAGTGTGAGCGCACAGAAGGGGAGGTACCTAAGAGATGCTGTAGAGTAGAAGCAAAACGACTCAGTAACTGATTCAATATAGGGGGGTAAGGTTGGGAACCTGAAGGAAATTAGGAAAAGGGTGAGCATAATGCCTGCAGGGCACACAGTAAGTGCTTCATAAATGCTTGTTACCTCATGAGGCTAAGCACTGAAACAAAGACAAGAATGTAATAATAACAGTATAACAACCAACATTTACATAGTACTTTAAAGTTTGCAGAGCACGGTTATATACATTATTTTCTCACTTTATTCTCCCCTTAGTACTGTTTTTTTCAGTCTTGTCTGACTCTTTGTGACCCCATTTGGGGTTTTCTTGGCAGAGATACTGGAGTGGTTTGCCATTTCCTTCTCCAGCTCATTTGACAGATGAGGAAACTGAGGCAAACGGGTAGAGTGACTTGCCCAGGGTTACACAGTTAAGTATCTAAGGCTGGATTTGAACTCAGGTCTTCATAACTCTAGGCCCCATCACTCTATCCACTGTGCCACCTAATAGTAACATTTATATAGCACCTATTGTGTACTAGGCATAGCGTTAAGTGCTTTATAATTATTATCTCATTTGATCCTCCCAACAACCCTGGGAAGAAGGTGCCATTATTATCCCCATTTTACAGTTGAGGAAACTGAGGCAGACAGAAGAGGGTTGGTTTTTTTTTTGGTTGGTTTTTGTTTTCACGGACTTGCCCATGATCACACAGCTAGTAAGTATCTGAGGCTGGATTTGAACTCAGGTCTTCCTGAGTCCTGGCCCAGAGCTCCAGCCACTGTACCATCTAGCTGCTAAATTGTGTGGTAGAAAGAGCCCTGAACTTGTGCTGTTTGAATTCTGGAGTGAATTTGGGCAAATCACTTCCCTAGGTAGGTGGGAGGCATATAGAGCATAGAGGCTGGTTTGGAATCAGAAAGACCTGAGCTCAAATCACCTGTATGACCTTGGGCAGAGTCGTTTAACTGCTGCCCACTTCCATTTTCTCATCTCTCAAACTGTGATGATAATACCATCTCCTTCTCAGCGTTGTTATGAGCATCACATGAGATCATGTTAGTGAAGCGCTTTGTTAGTTGTTATCATCACCATCATCATCATCTCTCTGAACCTCTGTTCCATTATCTGTTAAATGAGAGACTTAGGCTAGCTGGCCTCTAAAATGCCTTTGAACTCACAAGTCTGTGCTCCTATGCCCCAAAGCCCCTAACTTTCACTGCTGTTCATTTCTAATGTCACTGCCTTGGGAAGGGATGGAAGAGGTAAAGGCTCTTCTGCTCCTTAGCCCTCAAGTTGGGGATGGATGGCTTGCTTCTACATGTCCCTCCTCCACGGTGAATTTTCTAACTCTCATGATCTATTGCAGTGATAAGCTTGGGGCACAAACCATTTAGGCTTGGACCATTAGGATGCTTAGGAAAAATTATCAGCGCACAACATCATCACAGAATGCAGCCTGACATGTCCGGCTTCTTGGCTTCACCTCCCAAGCATTTGACTCATCCCTTTCAAGCCCCAAACCTTGAGTATAGCAAGGTTTTTTCTGGTCTCTTTTCTAGGTGCAATCCCCAGGACTAAGATGCTTTCTAGTTATGAAAGTCTATGATCCTAAATCTTCCCCTTTCACAGTCCCTAAAGCTTTGTACCAGAAGTATTAGCCTTCCCTCACAATCTATGTCCAATTGACCCTTCCTAAACTCACTTCAAATTACTTTCATTATAAATAAATGACTGACTGAATAAATAAATAGATTATTCTTGTTCATGCCTTTAAATAAATAAATAGATTTTTCTTATGCATGCCTTTTATGTTCCAGCTGAACTACTAGCTGTCTCTTAGAAATGTCATTTCTTTTTCCATCCCCATGCCTTTCCAAAGACCCTACTCCCATGTTCCCTCCACCTCATCCCTGGAATATACAATATCCTTATTTTGACCTCTTGGATACTGGCCTTCCATCAAGGCTTCATTTAAGGGTAACCTCCAGGTAGCTGCTGGAGTATAGATTGGTTGCCATCATTTCTGTCCTGGGTTCCCAAGATTAGTTCAAATTCCATTTTTGAAATACTGATGATGATCCTTCTGGTGGTTCTTTCCCCCTCCCTCTCTCCCTACCTCCTTTCCTCAGAACCTCATGAAATCTTAGGGACTTCAAAGAGAGAGCTTTATTTTTTTTTTTTTTAGTCTTCTGGTCTAAGATGACTAGAACAGGTAGAAGCCTCCCTGCTAAGTAGTCACCCAGTCTTGGCTTGAGGGAGAGAACTATGGAAAAGCTTGGCAGACTTTAAAGGGTGATATAAATGTCACCTGCCATATCATGGTCATTATTGTCATCATTACTCTGAAGACCTCCTATGATGAGGAAGTCACTATCTCTCAAAGCTCTCCATTCCACTGTTCATATTGGGGCAGCTAGGTGGCACAGTGGTTAAAGCTCTGGCCTTGGAGTCAAGAGGACCTGAGTTCAAATCTGGCCTCAGACACTCTACACTTACTAGCTGTGTGACCCTGAGCAAGTCACTTATCCCTGATTGCCTCATTAAAAAAAGCAAAAACGAAAACAAAAAATCATATTGTGCCTAAATCTGCCTTCTTGCAACCTCTCAGTCCTCCTATACCCCAGTATTATAACTGACCCCTGTTACTGCTCTGTTATCAATATGGAATGAATGTTTCTGGGACTTCCTATTGTACCTCTGTCTCTCTTCCTCCTTCCTCTATCCTCTCTCCTTCTCCCTTTCTCCCTACCTCCTTCTTTTCCTCCCTCTCTCCTTCTTTCTTCTTCCCTCCTCTCTCTCTTCTCTTGCCTCCCTTTCTCTCCCTCCCTTCACCTTCTCCTTCTTGCTCTCTCTCCCTCCCTCTTGCTCGCCTTCCATCTCCCTCCCTCTCTCCCTCCACCTCTCTCTCATTTTCTCTCTCACTGTCATATACATATTGTCTCTTATCTACAGCAAAAAAGGGATATAACTATAATTTACCCACTTGGGCGGAGTGGGTCACTTTTTAGGGAGCTTCAATCAATCAGCAATTAAACAGGAGACCTCACCTTTTCGTGGGGTGTTGTAGAGCGTTGATCCAGGTCATCAGATGACCAGATTGGCTCTCCAGATGTCCAGACTGATGCACAACAGTTCATAAAGGACAAACAAAAGTGTTGTGAGTTTTTGCATCATCATATCCATCCATTTATCAATTACAAGCATTTATTAAGCACTTACTGTGTTCCAAGCATCATTCTAGGTGTTAGAGATAGAAATACAAAGAACCTCTCACCTCTTTCCTGACATCTAAAACCACATCACTAAGTACCTGCTGGATATCTCTGCTTAGACGTATGTTCCGTGGACATCTCCAACTTGACATGGAGAAACGGTGGGGTGTGAAGGAAAGAGTATTGGATTCAGAATGATCAAACTTGAAAGGAAGTATGACAAGTGGATAGGACACCTGACTTGCAGCCAAGATATCCTGAATTCAAATCCTACCTCACATACTAAGCTTTGGGGCCACTGGCAAGTCACTTCATTCCTCCATGTTTCTGTTTTCTCATTTGTGAAATGAGAAGTTTGAACTCAGTGGTCTTTAAGGTCCCTTTCAGCTCTAAACTTACTATATTATGATCTTAGGTCTAAACATAGCTCATTCTCTTCCCTGAAAAATATGACCCTTTTCCTAATTTCTTACAGGTTCCCAACCTCAGGATCATCCTTGATCATCTAATCAGTTACCAGGTCCTATTGATTATACTCTCCATCTCCTCTTGGGCACTTCCCCTGCTCTCCACTCCCTCTGCCATCACCCATCATTCTCTAGCATGAAGTATTACACTTCTTGTTCCTAATTGATTTCCCTTACTTTATTTTCTCCAAGCCATTCTCTACCAGCAGTGTCAAACTTACAGGTCCCACAAAATTCCCTTGCTCTGCAATCAGGTGAAAATGTAAATGTTTAACAAAATAAATAAAAATACAACATCTGTTGTTGTTCAGTTGCGTCTTTTTTGGAGTTTTCTTGGCAAAGATACTAGAGTGGTTTACCATTTTCTTCTCCAGCTCATTTGACAGATGGGTAAACTGAGGAAACAGACACACAGCTAATGAGTGTCTGAAGCTGGATTTGAACTTAGGAAGATTGAGTCTTCCTGACTCTAGGGCCAGCACTCTATTCACTGTGTTACCTACTGCCCCTAAAAATACAACATAGATAATGCTAATTTGTGGTTTTCTAAGTCCATATGCAGCCTCTCATCTCAAAAATGAAGACTAGATAGATAGTCTTCACAGTCCCTTTCAATTCAAGTATTCTCAGTTCTAAGGGCCCTCCTAGCTCTGACATTCTAAGTTCCAAGGGCCCTCCCAGCTGTGACAGTCTGGGTTCTAAAGGACTTTCCATCTCTGACATTCTCTGTTCTAAGGGCCCTCCCAGCTCTGAAATCCTATGATCAGAAGAGGCAGCCGTATGTAGATGTGACATAGCCAGCTGGGAAGCACGTTTTCTTCCTGGAGCATGAATCCATAGCCTGCCAAGCCTTCTCAAGGCCTCCCACCCCAACCCACTTCTGATGACTCACATGGGATCAAATGGTACCACCAGAAAAAACCTAGAAATATCTCTAGTATCTGTAAATTCCCAGGCAGGAAACTAAGGGACTTGGGAGAATAGATGTTTTCATTTTTCCTTTAAGTTAAAAGTTGAGACTTTGGATGGGAAATGAGAATATAGGCAGTGAGCAGCAGGCTAAGTAAATGGAGCTGAGAACAGGATTTGAGTTTATGAAGTGTAGCTTAAGACACTGGCGTGATGAACTTCTTGCTAGAGATAGAGTATATCTCCTAAGGCTTATGCAAGAATATCTTTGCCCAAAGTCTCCCTGACTTACTTGGGGACCCTTAAAATGAAAAGGGATGGAAAGGAGGAAAAAGGCCTAGCTAGCTAGAACCATTAAACCAGTGACTAAGGAAAATATTAGAGATGGCAAAAAGGAAAACTCTAGTGGAGGAGAAGCCCTAGAACTGAAAGGAGAAAGGAACTGTGAAGATGGTTGGGAACAATGCTTATGGCCAGAGTCTAAGTAGCAAATTGGATCAAGCACCATAAAAGGGTTAGGGCCTAGAAGGTAGAAGACAAGAGTCTAGGAGAGCTTCTGGGCAGCTACATTCTAGGGGTGGAGACAGGGAAGGGGCCGAGTCAAGGAGGAGCTCACCTGGAAGATGGGAACACATCTGAATTCTACCTTGGACACTAGCCTTCAGTTTCCTTATCACAGAATGTAGTGTTTGAAGGGACCTCAGCAGCCATTTTGCTTAACCCATGCCAGAACTGTCTTTTCTGAGAATTCCCAGCTCATGCAGGCTATTTCCATCCAGAAAGGTCATACTAGGAGAAGACTAACCCAATCCCAGAGTCTTGCTCATGCCAACCTGCCACAGTTGGTGACTGGACCCCCTAACTCCCATGAGGAGGAGGTGGTGGTAGGGCAAGAAAGTAGAAGGAAGATGCCAACCAAAGGGGTAGTAATAGGGGGCCTGGGTTGGCATAGGACTACTTCATATCAACATCATTTGAAAAGACTGGTGATATTTAGCCTGGAGAAGAGAAGACTGGGTGGGGAAGGGGAGTGGTAGTTATCTTCAGATGAGAAGTACCTAAAATGAAATGTGTCACATTGGGAAGGGAAAAGTACTATTCCTCTCCCTGAAAGAGTCTCCTATGTGCTGTCAAGCGCATTGTAGTAAGGATTATTTTGGGGGTATAGATCAAGCAAGATGGATGCTGAGGTCTCTCCAAACTCTGCAATTCTGTTATTCTGTCATTGTCCTTGATCATATGACAATGTATATTCTGGGACATCTTTGTTGTCCCTGAAGCAATCTGTTTTGGGGACCTACTGTGATGGGAAGGGAGCCATGATTGGGCCCAGGAAAAGAAGCAGGATCATGGCAATCTTCCCCTGCAGGGAATGAGGAAAATATATGCCTCTAAATATCATCTCTCTAAGACAAAGCACAGGGGGAGGGATCTGAACTTAAGGACCATTTCAATCTTTGTTCCTTTCTTCCTTCCTGCCTCTCTCTCTCCATCTTGACGATGAGGGAATCCTGCAACATTAGATCGCTGGGGCTATGAGAATTAAGAGGTGATGTAACAGCGTCTTTGGGCTGATATCCTTCAGGGCCTTTGCCTCCCTTGACCATCTCGAAATAAGGGTTATACTTCCCCCCAAAAGTCAAATCAGTGTGCAGAACAACAGAAGGAATGTCTTTTTGTTAACCAAATAAAGAGAAGAAATTTTGTTCCTTAGTTTACCATGAACCAAACTGAAAGAGATATCTATTTATTTCAACATGCCTTTCCCATGAGCCAAGCTGACATTCACATGATCATGGCTCCCTCTGGTGAATAATTCAATTGAAACTCTACCTGAAAATGATGTAATTTTTCCTGGCTGCAGAATTTCTTCATCTTCATCTTTTGTTTCACAGTTACTATAAAATGGCAATTTGAAAGCATTTGGCTTAGAGAGTTGTCCTTAAGGGGAAATGTTGGCTGCGATGTCTCTCCAAACAAAATGCTTGCACACTAATAAAAATGTATATTGGACATATTTTAATTAAAATGTAAAGCATAGATGATTTTCTTTCCACATCATAATAACTAGGAAAGAAAGTGAGAAGAAAAAGGTATACTTGTATTATACAAACACGGAATGTCAAGGTGGGAAGGGATTTTAGCACAGATCCTAAGAACCCAGAACATCAGAGCTGGGGGGGGGGGTCCTTAGAACAGGAAATGTCAGAGCTGGAAGGAAACCTTACAACATTGAATGTCAGAGGTGAGAGGGACGTTAGAACACAGTTAAGTAGCTTATCCTAGCCAGGACTGAGCTCCAGCATTGCCAGAACTGACTCAGAACACAGATTGTTAGAGTATGAAGGGAATTCAGAGCCTAGAATGTCAGAGCTGGGAGGGCTTGTGGAACAAGAGTCAGGATTGAGTTCCTTTACAAGATGCCGAGTTAAAATATACATTTTGGCCCACATTTGCAGCTTTATCAGTGTAAGCGCAGGGGAATGCCCACAAGGAAAACTCCCTTGACCAAAGCGGACCTGCCCCTGCTCTGTAATGTACACTTTTATACAATACTGCCTGGGTCACTGAGAGGCTGTGTTCGCATGTCCACAGTCACAGAGCCGGCGAAGAAGACATCAGAGGCAGTCCAGGACACCAGGCTTTCCTAGTTTTCAGGCTGGTTCCCCAATCCATCCATCATTACAACCTCTCTCCCAAACACAGCACGTCCCAAAAGTCTTAGTGAAATTTTAAGCTTCAACTGCTTTATATGAAACAAGACTTTTGGGTCACTCTGTACAAATTAACCAGTAAAAATGGCTGTGAATTTCTTCATATGAAACACGAGACGTCCCCAAGGTACCTTGTTTAACAGGAGATCTGCCAATTGGATCTGAAGGAATGTTCAGCATCCTTCTCCCTCCGGCACTGATTGGTCTTTTTTCCACAGGGGGCCGAGGTTGTGTGCCTTCCATCAGTCCTTGGGACCAGCTTCTGTGAGCACTTATTGGTTGATTATGGAGTATAGGAAACTGTGTAGTGAATCCAGGGCTCGGGTGTGGGTCCACTGTCCTGGGCCATGATGAGTACCGGCCCTGTGAGGAGGAAGACAGAAGGGGTTATTACAGAACCCAGAGATATTTCCTGTGGTCCCATGGAATTTGTCATGTAACAGAAATATGAGACAGCCATATGGCTCAGTATTTAGAGCGTTGGGCCTGGAGTCAGGAAGAACTGAGTTCAAATCAGGCCTCAGACACTTACTAGCTGGCCCTGGGCAAGTCACAACTTCTGTCTGCCTGTTTCATCTGTAAAATGGGGATAATAATTGCCTATTTCCCAGGGTTGCTGTGAAAATCAAATGAGATAATAATTGTAAAGTGCCTAGCACAGCACCTGGCATATAGTAGGTGCTCTATACACGTTTATTCCCTAATTTTCCCTGATGTGCTTTGTTCTTGCTGTTGGGAAGACCTCTCTTCACCTCCTGTTTCTAACTCAGCTGCTGGCCCACAGTCACGTCACTTAGCCTCACTAGGACTCTAAGTTACAGAAGGATTGGTTAGCTGCACCAGCAAAGGTGCTTTCCATACTAGGAAGTCCCCGTATGGATTTTACATATGGATCACAGATCAGGACCAGAAAAAAAGTTATTAATAAAGCTTGCAAGATGGAATTATTGTCTGGAAAGTGTTCTACTGATCTCCCAGAAAGGGGAATTCTTATTATTTAGTTGAAGAAGAATTTTTCCCAAGCAAAATCCTCTGGAATTCTCCTCCCCGCCCATCTGCTGTAAACTTTGTACATCAACCCAACAGTATCATAACTTTCCTTTTCTTGAAATTCATGTGGAATTTTCTTGAAATCAGACACCTCCATGCTAATCAACTGCAGACACAGTGTTAAGCATTCTCAATTCAGACTCTTACAACAGGGCTTGAACTGCGATAGTGCATTTGAACAATAATGGATTGTGTTGTCTTATTCAATTTGAAAGAGAAATGTAACTAGGGAGGGGCAGCCTAAGTTTTGTCTCAGAGCCCAGAAATTTAGAGGTTGCAAAAAAAAAAATTAACGTAATGGCTACTTTTGCAGCATAGAAGACAGAATAATAGCTAATAACAATATACTACTACTACTAATGATAACTTCTCCTTTTTTCAGTTGAATTTGTCTTTATTCCTTTTGTATTATTTTCAAGATAGGTACCATGGCACTGTGGATGGAGAGCAGTGGTGGGCTGGAGTAGCTCAAACTCACTTTGGAGATCTGGTTGTTAAATTTTCAATGGTGGCATTTACATCTCAGAAATCAGGGAGAAATCAGGGCTCGATTCATTGTTTCGTTGACTGTCTAGACTTAAGAAAGTGATGAAGAAAACACCAACGATGCAGACAAAACTTAAAAGTGTGTTATGTGCACTTTTGTTCTTTTTTTTCTGGAGAATCAATTGTTAACCATTTGCCAGCACACCCCTGAAGGAAAGTCAAGCTTGGAGTCAAGAAGTCATGGGTTCAAGTTGTGGTTCTGACACAAATGACCCTAGACAAGTCACTTATATCTCAGTACCCCAAGCAACCCAATGCTGATTTGCACTGGAAGAAGGAATTTCCTCTGGGAGTTCCCTATATCAATGAAATCACAGGTTCAGGTTTTTTTTAAAAAAGTAGTATTTTCAAATCATGATCTAATAATGCTATTACTAATAGCTAACATTCCTATGTTACTCTAAGGTTTTCAAAGTGCTTTACAAATATTTCATTTGATTCTCACAACCCTGGGAGGTAGGGGCTATTATTATCCCCATTTTACAGCTAAGGAAACTGAGGCAGGCAGAGGTTAAGTGACTTGCCCAGGGTCACACAGCTAAGGTAGTGTCTGAGGCTGGATTTTATCTCAGGCCTTTCTCACTAAAGGTTCAGAACTCTATCCATAGCAACCACATAGTTACCTTGAAGGGAAGTCATGGGGTAATAATAACAACAGCCAACATTTCTAGAGTGCTAAAAAGGTTTGCAAAATGCTTTACATATATTATTTCATTTCATTCTCACTAAAACCATGCAAAGATAATAATGAACTCAGGTCAGAGGTCAGAGAATTTAGAGCTGGGAGGGGCCTTAGAACACAGGATGTCAGAGCAGGGAGGGGCCTTAGAACACAGAATGTAAGAGCTGGGAGGGCCTTAGAACACAGGATGTCAGAGCTGGGAGGGCCTTAGAACACAGAATGTCAGAGCTGGAAGGGCTTAGAACACAGGATGTCAGAGCTGGGAGGGCCCTTTGAACACAGGATGTCAGAGCTGGGGGGGGGGCTTTAGAGCCCAGGATGTCAGAGCTGGAAGGGCCCTTTGAACACAGGATGTCAGAGGGGACAGAGCTGGGAGGGGCCTTAGAACAACCATGTATTAAAAAGACATATATAGGATAAATTGAAAACAATCTTGGAAGTCATTATCATTAAGGATAACTGGAAAAGGTTTCTTGCAGAAAGGGGAATTAAATAAACAAAATGCAAAGGCTGGGAAATTGTTCCTGCCATCAAGCCTGAATCTGACTCTCTGTAGCTTCCAGCAAATGCTTCTAGTTATATCTTCCAGGTGCTAGCAGAACAAATCTGATGCCCTTTCCACGTGTTTTTGTTGTTCAGTCATTATGAAATAACCCCATTTAGGGTTTTCTTGACAAAGATAATGGAGTGGTTTACCATTTCCTTCTCCAGCTCATTTTACAGATGAGGAAACTGAGGCAAACAAGGTTAAGTGATTTGCCCAGGGTCACCCTAAGTGTCTAAGGTGGGGTTTCAACTCAGAGAGATGAGTCTCTCTGCCCTTTTCCACATGACAGCTCTTTAAATACTTGAAGATAGCTATACTTGAATCAGGCGGCCTGGGTTCCAGTCCTGGCTCTGATATTTATTAGCTGTGTGACCCTGGATAAGTTATGTTCTGCAAAGGTTCTGTAAAGTAGGGATCATAGTAGAAGCAGTTCCAGGGGAAGCCAATTTCTAGGTTACAGAATTGGGGTGGGGGAGGAAAAGAGAGGGGAAAGAGGAAGGAAGTGATGGGGAGAGAGAAGAGAAGAGGGTGGCAGGAGAGGAATGAGATGGAGAGGAGGAGAGGGAGGAGGAAGGAGAAAAGTAGAAAGAGAGGAGTATGAAGAAGAAGGGAGGGAGAGGGAGAAGAGGAGGGAGGTGATGAGAAGAGAGAAGAGAAGAGGGTAGAAGGAAGGGAATGAGAAAAGCAAAGAGAAGAGGGAGAAGGAAGGAAAGGAATGGGAGGAGGGAAGGAACATGAAGAAGTGGGGAGAGGAAAGGGGAAGAGGAGGGAGGAGAGGAAGAGAAAGAATCAGTTATTAGATGACATGGCTTGATCAGTATCCAGTCCACCTCTTTCTCATTCCTCATTTCCTCTGCTGCTATTTCACCAAGTTTTAGCTCCTTACAGCAGAGAAGAAGCAGAGAGAGGAGTGGGCATCCAAAGGGGTGCCTAGGGGCTGCACCAATAGCTCGAGTCAAACAGCTCTAGTCAAAGGTTGGTAAAGGTTGACAGTCATAGCTGGCTTGACCATCTGTGAGCTTCCTTTCCAGGCTTCCTCCGCCTCCATTAGCATATCTAGCTGAGAGGGGTCAGAAAGAGCTGTGACCTTCTCCAATCGCTAGGCAGCAAAGGTGGTGCTGATTCTGATGCTGACACCCTCCTCTGGGTCCCCCCTCCTCCCACCCAGCCACATTCACCTCTAGAAAATGCAATGGGCTGTGTGCTGTTATGGAAAGGAGACAGGCCGGCAAATCAAGAGAGCAGAGGATCCTGCTCTCAGGTGAAACACAAACATACAAATTGGGCCAAATTTGTTGTGCATGTTCCATGTGGAGCTTTGCCTCAAAAGCTGAGTTTGTGTTGGGGGGAGAAGAAAAGGACAGCCATTGCATGGTGGGGATGGTGTTAGTATGGCAGTCAGGAACCCCAGCAGGCCCTGGCTCTGTCACCAGCCAGGTGGGCAACCTTAGCTCCTTTGGGGGCCTTTTCAACTTTCTCTTAAATTAAAAGGAAAGGGTTAGACTAGACCAGGCATCCTTAACCTGGAGACCCAAGGGTTAGATTTTAAGGGCTCCATGAAGTTGGATGGAAAAAAAATACTGCCTTGGCTTCCATTTGAAATGTAGCATTTTCTGCTATCCACATCCAGAGAAAGAATTGTGGAATATGAATGCAGATAGAAGCATACTGTTTTCTCTTTCTTTCTTTTTTTCTTTCTCATGGTTTTTCTTTTTTGTTCTGATTCTTTTTTCACAAAATGACTAACATGGAAAAAGTTTAATATGATTGTACAAGTATAGCCTATATCAGATTGCATGCCATTTGGGCAGGGGAGAGGAGCTCAAAATCTTATTTCACAAGTACCTTGACAGACTGGATCTCCTAAGATGCAATTTAATGGGGAAAAATGTGGCCCTTACACCTGGATTTCAAATTTTACGAGTACAAGATGGGGGTCAAAGGGATAAGGATGGGCAGCAGCCAGTCTGAGCAAGATCTGGAGGTTTTAATGGACTCCAGGATGAAAATGAACAAACTGTGTGGTATGGCAGCCCAAAGAGCTAATATGTTCTCAGACTGAATTAAGAGAGTCTCAGCTTGCAGGAAGTGGAAAGCAAGAGTCGCTGTCCTGTCCTCCTCGGACCTTGTTTAGGACACTGTTTTTAGTTAGTTCTCAGCACCATAATTGAGAAAGACCACTAGAGCTAGATCGCTTCCAACAGAGGGCAATAGGAAGGTGAAAGGTCCATGTCATATAAGGGTCTTCTGACTATTACTACTACTACTACCACCACCACCACCACCACTATTACTATGATAACAACTACTACTACTATTACTACTACCACCACCACCACCATCATCATCACCACTACCACTACTACTGATAAGAAGAAGAATAAAAATAGCTAGCAATTATATAAGTGGAAGAGGGACTAGGTTTGTTTTGTATGGGGTCCTAGCAGGCAGACATAGGAAAGAAGGGAGAAGTCACAAAGAGTATTAGACTTGATCTTGGGAAAGACTTTCTAAAAATTAAAGCTGGCCAAACGTAGA